TTATTGACAAGGGTTATCCACCTGTAACTATTTGTTAATGACAGAAAACATCATTGCCGCTGTAATTTTTTATCAAAAATTTGTAGAAGAAACTTTCTTGATATCAAAAATTTTCGTAATTTAAAGCAAAGATTGTAATTTTTATTTTCGAATGCTTAAGTATTCCAATATGCTACCAATTAAACATAGAACAATTTCTAAATAATGCTTAATAACAAAGTTGAAATTTGATCTTCAACTGGTACTATCTTCTACAAATTTTCGAAAAAAAAAATTTCTATATTTTTCTCGTACTCCCCAAGTGAGCCTCTATCACCCCTTAAAAGGAATAACGCCAATTTTGAATCACCCTGTATATAGGCATACCAAGCTTATTTTTACAATGGCGTTCTGATAAAAATTAGTTAATGAAATTAAATACAAACATAAACAAACTTAATAATTATTTCTTATTTGAATTAATCTAAATCTGCCACTTTTCGCACAGAGTATAAGGGAACATGAAATCCGTTTTTCGAGCTCCTCACAGTCGCAACGCAGTCGTTTTAAAAAAAATTTAATCTAAACTTTCCCTAAAACTAAGCAATTACCTAGCAATTCTATGCCTCAGGGTGAATGGAAACAAAGCCATAAATGTGGATTAAGAAACGGGATGCAGGTACAAAAAAATGCAGGTCGAATACAGCAGATGTAAGAACTTGCGTTTGTACAGTGGCATTTTTAAAATTAATTAAATGCGATAAAAACCTGAATAAGTCATTAATGATATAAGCTCAAATTTCAAAATATAGGTTTTACGAACAACTGTATGAGCGAACAATATAGGTTGCCAAGCACAGCCGGGGTATCTAATGATCAGTGTGCACAGAAGACATATGTATGCTTTTCAGAATTTGCGGTATTTTATTAATAAAGGGGTAGATCAATTTGCCTTCTTAATGTTGGTTTTAATTAGTTCGGTTTGTATCGTTTGTTTGTTTTTATATAACTATTTATTTAATTGTTTCAATAACGTTTTTATTAAAAAAATTCCCAGCGTGCATTCGATTTCTAATTTTTTGCCGCGTTTTTTTCCTATGCCTGCCGACGCTATTACAGACTACCTATGAATGTCCCGGAATTTCAGTCGATTTGAAGTGCTTTTCAGCGAAATTTTTGAAGATTAAGGGTACTTCAAGCTAGAACCAAAATAAATGCCGAGCTAAAACAGCATAAAATCTGATGAGGTATAAACCCGGGTTTAGTCCGTTTACATATGAACTAGTCGAAGTTGGACCGTATATAAACAGTCTAGTCCCTTTACAAACCGACTAGTCCGTTTGTTGAAGGACAAGTTTGTTACACATATGGTCTGAAACCTTCAGTCCGTTTATATACGGACTGGTCATTTATACGGTACTGGTCATCATATACGGACTGGTCATCATACTGCCGGTTTTACACCTACGGTCAAGGGCGGATTCAGGGCAGTACCGTGGATGGCCGGGTATTAAACTCTTTCTTCAGCTTATACAGAGTATAGATTGGACAGTTTTGCTTTTCCGCCAAAATGATTTTGCTCAAATCAACCACAGAGAGGCGTCGTCCAAAAATCCAGAGGATCAGCTGATTGTTTGCATGCGTTTGTTTTGTACATGCAAACGGCAACGTCAAGTTTATAAAGGCCCATTTATAAACTTGACGTTGCCGTTTGCGTTCACCGGTACCTTTTGCGTCCACCGGTACCGTTTGCGTCGAAAATCAAGTTTTGGAATACCTAGCATGCATTTATAAACACCGCTGGATGGTACCGTTTCCGCTCCGTGCCGGTCGATATGAACCATAGAGAAAGTAAAATAAGAGAGGTGGCGGTATAATGTTAAAACTTGGAACCGCGTTGCGCTACAACCGGCTGACCGTCAGTAACGGGA